AAAAAAAAAAAAAAAAAAAAAAAAAAAAAAAAAAAAAAAGTCATCCACCTAAAGTTTGTCACATGCACAGTGTTGTACAGCCATCACCATAATCTAATTCTAGACCCCCTTACCCTCTAGGCAGTCACCCTACTTCCTCTCTGCCTCTGCCCTGGAAAGCACTAGTCCATTTCTTGACACTATAGATTCACCTACTCTGCATATTTCATGTAAGTGGAAACCAACAACTTGTAACTGGATTCTCTCACTGACTGAACATAAGGTTTTTAAGGCTCACCCATGTTATATCATTCCTTTATAAAAAGGCTGAGTAATATTCTAGTATATGTTTTGCTGAAGCATTCATCTATTGATGGATACTTACATCATTGGTACTTTGTAGCTACTGTGAGCAGTGCTGCTATGAACACTCGCTCGTATGCACCCTTGTATGGGTGGATACTTCAGCTTGGGTAGACCTCTAGTGGGGAAAGTGTTGGATCCTACTGTAGCTCTTTACCTTGAGAAACTCTGGCTGTCTTCCCATTACTAGGGAGATCAAGGGTGACTCCTGCCTTAGTGTGGAGGCCACTGAGTCTTGTGCAGGATCTGGGGAATGATGAAGCTGTTGAGGGTCAGCTGGCAATCTTGGCTAGCCCTGGTAGAAAGAAAAAGCAAGAGATGAGCGTTTCACCTGTATTAGCTAGTTTAAACCCTGAGAGTAGGGCTGGAGAGATGAGTCTATGGTTACGAACACTGGCTGCTCTTGCAGAGGATCAGGTTCTATTCCCAGCACCCATGTGGTGGCTCACAGCCATCCTTAACTTCAGTTCAAGAAGATCCAGTGCCTTCTTCTGGCCTTCATGGGCACCAAGCACACATGTGGTACACTTACATACAAGCAGTAAACATTCATACACAGAATACACACACACATACACACACACACACACACACACACACACATTTGTTTTTTTAAGACAGAGTTTCTCTGTGTATAGCCCTGGCTTCCTGGAACTGCAAGGGTGGAGCGCACTCTGAGGCTGGGTGCTCTCTGCTTCTCAGACTCTGTGTAGTCCCAGGCTACCTGGTCATCCATAGGTGCTCTTGCCCTGAGCTCTCAGTGCTCCCCAAATCCAGCAGTAGTTCTGGCCCCTCATCCTGCCTCCACCGCCTCTACTGCCTCTTGTATGTTCTGCCAATTCTGAGGCTGGCCCTGCCTAGAAAGATCATTCTGCCTCAGCACTTTGTGGTAACAGCCCTGTCTAGCCACAGACTTTGACACTGCTGGAGGTCCTGTAGCAGTCCCCCACCCCCGTCTCTCCCTCAGAAATTATTAACTCCTAGTTCAGCAGTTTACAACTGCTTGAAAACCTTTAGAACAGGTGATCACCAGCCAGCCCAGCACTCACAGAAACCTATAACCCTGGACTGGGGAGGGATTAAAGTACCTGCTATGCAAGCTTTAGCAATGTGTTCCAATCGCCCATATAAATAAAAACCCATATAAATGCCCAGTGGTGGTAGTCTGCCTGTACTTCCAGCTCATGAGCTCTGGGTTTGATTGACAGACCCTGCCTCAATGAATAAGATGGAAGTGTGATCAAGGATGATTCCTGATATCAACCTCAGGCCTCCACATGCAAATATATACAGAGACAGAGACAGAGAGAGAGAGAAAGGAAAAAAATGAAAACCAAAATCCAGAGTGCTCTGCTCCCAAATAGAGTTGGGGAACACTTGGGGCTGGAGATAGACCCTGGATCCCTGGTCCTGTAGGGAGCAAGGTTCCTGAGGAGGAAGAATTCTGAGATCCTCACGAGATGAAATGAGAGCTGTGAGACTCCAAGGCCCACTCATAATAGAACATCAGTGGAGAGAGGTCCAGAACTAAGCTCATGACCAGGGTGAAATCCAGCTGGCCTGGGATCCCTGGAGTTGATTGGGGACTATAGAGAGGTGCTCAGTGCAGATGGGTGAGCTGTGTTCTCCTCTCATATTGTCTCTGTTCCCCACTGCCTACGGAATCAGAGGTCCCATCTGCAGGGGCCATGTGAGGCCCTTTCTGTGACCAAGTCAGAACTGGGTCAGGCTGGGTCCAGGAACACAAAGCAGACTTCTGGGGTAGAGAACAGAAGGATGTGGGCAGGTGTGAAGGTGCCATGCTATTGTAATCAAACTGGAGCAGAGATTTCTTCCTGTCTCTACAGCCCCAGGATTCTCCATGTTCTCAGACCCTGCATACTGGCTGGCCTCACCAAGAGGAAAAACAGCTAGATAGGAGGAACATGTTTCCCAGCCTCTGCCTTCCCTCCTAGAGCCTTTTCCTTTTTTTTTTAATCTGTGTGTCATCTATATCTGTGTGTGTGTGTGTGTGTGTGTGTGTGTGTGTGTGTGTGTGTGGTGTGTGCACGTGTACATGTTCATGTGTGTGAGTACAAGTGCACATGTAACCATGTTGTGAATTTGGAGGTCTTAAGGAAAACCTTGGATATCAGAATCTCCTGTTGGTGGCCACTGTGTACTCCAAGCTAGCTGGCCTACAAGTTTCTAGGGATTCTCTTGTGTCTGCCTCCCATCTCACTGTAGGAGGGCTAAGATTACAAAAGTGTATGTGCTACCATGTTAGCTTTAGGTAGATTGTAGGCATCCAAATGCATGCCTTAATTGATATGTGTTTTATCCACTAAGCCATTCCTCAGACCATTCCAATGCATTTTCTGACCCAGAAATGCTCCCCACCAGGGAAATGCCAACTCTGCCTCCAATCTCCTTCATGCCATAGCAGACCCTAGGAACTCCAGCTCTCAGCAAGACCTCCTGCCATGGTCCAGGATATATAATAGCAGCTGACACTGACAGACAAACATGTCATATGCTATATGTAGCATGCTTGATTCACAGCCACCCTTTGAGACTGGTCTTAATGGATCCTAGTCTCTACAGACCAGAGAAGCTCAGTGACTAGCCTAAAACCACACAGGTTATTGACAGAGAGTCAGGTCTCAAACATGGCTTTCTGTGAGTCTACAGCTTTTTCTGCTGTTTTGTATGTGTGTAGAGTTGCACAAATGTGAGTGTGCATATGGCAGCCAGAGGACACTGCAGCTGTTGTTCTTTAGCTGTCTGCTCTGCTTATCTCTATTTTGATCTCTAATTGTGTGTGTGTGTGTGTGTGTGTGTGTGTGTGTGTGTGTGTGTGTGTCATGTATTTGCTTGCCCTCCAAGACCGGAAGGGGGAATTTCATTTCTTGGAGCTGGAGTGACATGCAGTTGTGAACCACCTGATGTGGGTGCTGGGAACCAAACTTGGTCCTCTGGAAGAGGACTGAGCCAACACTAAGGTCATCACCTTTTTTTTTTTAAAGGCAGGGTCTCTCAATGGTCTGAAATTCACCAATTTAGCTAGGCTGGCTGATCAGTGCACCCCAAGAACCTTTCTGCTTCTCTCTCCCTAGCATTGAGATTAAAGCACACACCGTCACACCAGCATTTTTTACATGGGTTTGGGAGATCTAACTCACTCAGGTCTTCATGCTAATGTGGCAAGCACTTTACAGACTGAGCTGTTTCCCAATCCTGAGCATTTGTTTTTTATCACCAGACAGGCAGAAATAATTTTTTAAAAAAAGGCAGTGTCCTCAAAAGCCCCCAGAAGGCTAAGCAGATGACCCCAGGAAAAGTAGGAAAGAAGCCCTGGCATGTGGAGACTGAGATCAGGATGCTCCCTCTGAACCGTCAGCTCCACTGTGTATCCACTTAGGGCACTGGTTCCTGGCACTTTGAAGTGGCCTTGGCTTCCCAGCCAAGGAGACATTATCGTTCCAGCCATTGACAACACCAGACAATTAACAATGGTGAGTAACTGCTTCGTCTGAGCCAGAAGCACACTCTCTTGATGAGACAGGGCAAGTCAGATGCCACCATGAGGCTCCCAGGGCAAGCCACTGCAGAGTACAGAACACAGTCAGAAAAGGTCACCAGAACAGCGGCTTCTGTTCCCCTGAAGTTTCACATAGGATCCTTGGGGCCTCCAGTGACAGGAAGCCTCTGGCCCCGGCCCTGATGCTGGATCTGAGCTTTGGCTCTTGGATAGGTTGCAGCACATAGAGTCTACAGTACAACTGGGAGTGGACCAGAAGCAGGAAGTCTGGGATGATGGAGTGTTCTCAGGGTGAGCAGGCAGACTCTGCTGGCCCAGAGCTAACTGTCCAAGGTGGGCATCCACCCAGTGCTAACTACATGTATCTCCAACCTCAGACAGAGCTGTAACCTGGCTTACCCTCCTGGCTGATGAGCCTGCCCACCATGGCGAGCCCCACTCTGAGCCCCGACTCCTCATCTCAGGAGGCGCTGTCAGCACCCACCTGCTCCCCAACCTCCGACTCCGAGAACCTCAGCCCAGATGAACTAGAGCTGCTGGCCAAGCTTGAAGAGCAGAACCGGTGAGTCGGGAGGAGGAAAGCTGGTTCCTGGGTTACCAGGAACTTCACACTCAAAGCTGGACCTGGGCTACACAGAGTTACAGCTACCACAAGATGCTTAAAGAAGGGTTTCTCTTTCATCCTTCCAATCTGAGCTGGATAAATTGGTTCTCTCATCCAGAAGAGGAAACCTACATTTCAAAATGTCAAATGAATCTCGCTGCCATTTACAAAGCCATTTTTGAAGGAAGAGGTTAAAGCTCCCAGCAGACCCTGTCTTAGAGGTCTTGTTTTGTTTTGTTTGGGGGAGGGGGAATCTTTGAGTTTTCTGTCTGTTTGTAGAATCCCCTCACTGGGGGATTCTAGGCAAGAGCTCTACTGAGCCGTATTCCCAGACCCTCACTGGGGGGTTCTAGGGGAATGCTATACCACAGAGTCATGCCCACAGCCCCTCACTGAGGTATTCTAGGCAGGGGCTCTACTACTGAGCCACAACCCTGGGAGCCACAACCCTGGGCTCATGCCGTTACTCAGGAATAAAATGAACCCAGCAGATCAGGACACTGGCCACAAAAAAAGGTGCTTTATTACTTACAGTTCCCAAAAGGAGAGGAAACAACCTGTCAGTCAGGAGGCAGACTAGAGTGTGAGGAAAAATGCTGGCTAGAACCTTGGTGTTGTACCTGGATTTGCTGAGTACTCAACCCTGGGATGATACAAGCAGATGGATGGTGAGCAGAGTGTAAAAGCTTGATGGAGGAAGTGGTTAGGGTGTGGGTGCTGGATTGGTTGATTTGCATATGAAAGTTTACTCACAGGCACGTGGGCCTTTCCTGTTTTTAATAACTGCCTAGCCCTAGGAGGGACCACCCCAGTCCCTCCATCTATCCAGAGTCTATAAAGCTGTCAAAGATGTCATAAAGGTCCTAGCACCCCAGCATATGGAGAGCTATAGCAAGAGAACCAAGAGGTTGGGGCCAGCCTGGACTTTGTAACCAGATCCTGTTTTAAAATAAAGGGCTAGAGTTATAAGTGGTAGAACACTCACCAAGAATGCACAGGTCCCTAAATTCAATCCCCATTTCAAAAAATAATAGAGGAAAGGAGGCTGGAGATATGGCTTGGTGGTTAAAAGCCTAGCTAGTTGCTCTTTCAGAAGACCTGGGTTCAATTCCCAATATCTACATGGTGACTCATGGCTATTTGTAACTCCAGTTCCAGGGAAATGGATTCC